CCTGTCCAAGGCTCTTGTAGCCTGTCAAGGCTTCTTGTAGCCTGTCCAAGGCTTCTTGTAGCCTGTCCAAGGCTTCTTGTAGCCTGTCCAAGGCTCCTTGTAGCCTGTCCAAGGCTCCTTGTAGCCTGTCCATGGCTCCTTGTAGCCTGTCTAAGACTTCTTGTAGCCTGTCCAAGGCTCCTTGTAGCCTGTCTAAGGCTTCTTGTAGCCTGTCCAAGGCTTCTTGTAGCCTGTCCAAGGCTCCTTGTAGCCTGTCCAAGGCTTCTTGTAGCCTGTCCAAGGCTTCTTGTAGCCTGTCCAAGGCTCCTTGTAGCCTGTCTAAGGCTTCTTGTAGCCTGTCCAAGGCTCTTGTAGCTGTCCAAGGCTCCTTGTAGCCTGTCCATGGCTCCTTGTAGCCTGTCTAAGGCTTCTTGTAGCCTGTCCAAGGCTCCTTGTAGCCTGTCTAAGGCTTCTTGTAGCCTGTCCAAGGCTTCTTGTAGCCTGTCCAAGGCTCCTTGTAGCCTGTCTAAGCTTCTTGTAGCCTGTCCAAGGTTCCTTGTAGCCTGTCCAAGGCTCTTGTAGCCTGTCTAGGCTTCCTTGTAGCCTGTCTAAGACTTCTTGTAGCCTGTCCAAGGCTCCTTGTAGCCTGTCTAAGGCTTCTTGTAGCCTGTCCAAGGCTCCTTGTAGCCTGTCTAAGGCTTCTTGTAGCCTGTCCAAGGCTTCTTGTAGCCTGTCCAAGGCTTCTTGTAGCCTGTCCAAGGCTCCTTGTAGCCTGTCCAAGGCTCCTTGTAGCCTGTCCATGGCTCCTTGTAGCCTGTCTAAGGCGTCTTGTAGCCTGTCTAAGCTTCTTGTAGCCTGTCTAAGGCTTCTTGTAGCCTGTCCAAGGCTTCTTGTAGCCTGTCCAAGGCGTCTTGTAGCCTGTCCTAAGGCTTCTTGTAGCCTGTCCAAGGCTCCTTGTAGCCTGTCTAAGGCATCCTTGTAGCCTGTCCTATGCCTCTTGTAGCCTGTCCTAAGACTTCTTGTAGCCTGTTCCAAGACTCTTGTAGCCTGTCCTAAGGCTTCTTGTAGCCTTTCCATGGCTCCTTGTAGCCTGTCTAAGGCTTCTTGTAGCCTGACCAAGGCTCCTTGTAGCCTGTCTAAGGCTTCTTGTAGCCTGTCCAAGGCTTCTTGTAGCTTCAAGCTCCTTGTAGCCTCTAAGGCTTCTTGTAGCCTGTCCAAGGCTCCTTGTAGCCTGTCTAAGGCTTCTTGTAGCCTGTCCAAGGCTTCTTGTAGCCTGTCCAAGGCTCTTGTAGCCTGTCCAAGGCTCCTTGTAGCCTGTCCAAGGCTCCTTGTAGCTGTCATGCTCCTTGTAGCCTGTCTAAGCTTCTTGTAGCCTGTCCAAGGCTCCTTGTAGCCTGTCTAAGGCTTCTTGTAGCCTTTCCAATGGCTCCTTGTAGCCTGTCTAAGGCTTCTTGTAGCCTGTACCAAGGCTCTTGTAGTCTGTCTAAGCTTCTTGTAGCCTGTCCAAGGCTTCTTGTAGCCTGTCAAGGCTCTTGTACCTGTCTAAGGCTTCTTGTAGCCTGTCAAAGGCTCTTGTAGCCTGTCCTAAGGCTTCGTGTAGCCTGTCCAAGGCTCCTTGTAGCCTGTCTAAGGCTTCTTGTAGCCTGTCCAAGGCTTCTTGTAGCCTGTCTAAGGCTTCTTGTAGCCTGTCCAAGGCTTCTTGTAGCCTGTCTAAGGCTTCTTGTAGCCTGTCCAAGGCTTCTTGTAGCCTGTCTAAGGCTTCTTGTAGCCTGTCTAAGGCTTCTTGTAGCCTGTCTAAGGCTTCTTGTAGCCTGTCCAAGGCTTCTTGTAGCCTGTCTAAGGCTTCTTGTAGCCTGTCCAAGGCTTCTTGTAGCCTGTCCAAGGCTCCTTGTAGCCTGTCTAAGGCTTCTTGTAGCCTGTCTAAGGTTTTTTGTAGCCCGCCTCATCTTTACCTCTCTCTCTCTCTCTCTCTCTCTCTCTCTCTCTCTCTCTCTCTCTCTCTCTCTCTCTCTCTCTCTCTCTCTCTCTCTCTCTCTCTCTCTCTCGTTGCATAATTCTGCAGCCTAACCCTTGCAGAAATCAATTACGGTGAATTAGAACGTAAAAGTGAGTGACAGTGACAGTGACAGTGACAGTGACTACAGTGAAATGCATCAGAGAAGCAAGCACTTAAACAAGCACTTAAACAAGCACTTAAACAAGCCAACACGCACTAAAACAGTTTTGCTTATTTTCCTTGTTTGCGTCTCGGTCCAGTAGACCTGATTCCCGTTTTCTAAATTATGGTAATTCGGGCGGCAGCACTAAACCCTCGGGGGTCAAACAGCGCCTGCGGAATGGAGGGTTAATCAGCTTTGATCCGAGGAAGGGGAAACGTGACAGAGCTCTACAGGCGAAGCGTAACTTGAGAGAGCTCTACAGGCGAAGCGTAACTTGATAGAGCTCTAAACAGAGTGAAACGAATTGATGAAGCTCTATACAGTGAAACATGACTTGATAAAGCTCTACACAGTGAAACACGACTTGATAAAGCTCTACACAGTGAAACACGACTTGATAAAGCTCTACACAGTGAAACACGACTTGATAAAGCTCTACACAGTGAAACACGACTTGATAAAGCTCTACACAGTGAAACACCACTTGATAAAGCTCTACACAGTGAAACACGACTTGATAAAGCTCTACACAGTGAAACACGACTTGATAAAGCTCTACACAGTGAAACATGACTTGATAAAGCTCTACACAGTGAAACACCACTTGATAAAGCTCTACACAGTGAAACACCACTTGATAAAGCTCTACACAGTGAAACACCACTTATAAAGCTCTACACAGTGAAACACCACTTGATAAAGCTCTACACAGAGTAAAACACGACTTAATAAAGCTCTACTCAATGAAACACGACTTGATAAAGCTCTACACAGTGAAACACGACTTGATAAAGCTCTACACAGTGAAACACCACTTGATAAAGCTCTACACAGTGAAACACAACTTGATAAAGCTCTACACAGTGAAACACAACTTGATAAAGCTCTACACAGTGAAACATGACTTGATAAAGCTCTACACAGTGAAACACCACTTGATAAAGCTCTACACAGTGAAACACAACTTGATAAAGCTCTACACAGTGAAACACAACTTGATAAAGCTCTACACAGTGAAACACGACTTGATAAAGCTCTACACAGTGAAACATGACTTGATAAAGCTCTACACAGTGAAACACGACTTGATAAAGCTCTACACAGTGAAACACGACTTGATAAAGCTCTACACAGCGAAACACAACTTGATAAAGCTCTACACGGTGAAACACGACTTGATAAAGCTCTACACAGTGAAACATGACTTGATAAAGCTCTACACAGTGAAACACGACTTGATAAAGCTCTACACAGTGAAACATGACTTGATAAAGCTCTACACAGTGAAACACGACTTGATAAAGCTCGACACAGTGAAACACGACTTGATAAGCTCTACACAGTGAAAACACTTGATAAAGCTCTACACAGTGAAACAACTTGATAAAGCTCTACACAGTGAAACACAACTTGATAAAGCTCTACACAGTGAAACACAACTTGATAAAGCTCTACACAGTGAAACACGACTTGATAAAGCTCTACACAGTGAAACACGACTTGATAAAGCTCTACACAGTGAAACACGACTAGATAAAGCTCTACACAGTGAAACACGACTTGATAAAGCTCTACACAGTGAAACACGACTTGATAAAGCTCTACACAGTGAAACAACTTGATAAAGCTCTACACAGTGAAACACAACTTGATAAAGCTCTACACAGTGAAACACGACTTGATAAAGCTCTACACAGTGAAACACAACTTGATAAAGCTCTACACAGTGAAACACGACTTGATAAAGCTCTACACAGTGAAACACGACTTGATAAAGCTCTACACAGTGAAACACGACTAGATAAAGCTCTACACAGTGAAACACGACTTGATAAAGCTCTACACAGTGAAACACGACTTGATAAAGCTCTACACAGTGAAACACGACTTGATAAAGCTCTACACAGTGAAACACGACTTGATAAAGCTCTACAGTGAAACACGACTTGATAAAGCTCTACACAGTGAAACACAACTTGATAAAGCTCTACAGAGTGAAACATGATAAATCTCTACACAGAGTGAAACGACCCAAAATAACAAGTTTTACCTATTCGGCACGACATTATATATATATATATATATATATATATATATATATATATATATATATATATATATATATATATATATATATATATATATATATATATATATATAAGTCCCTGGTTATGCAGAACATTGCGGGCAAATTAAGTTCATTTTTTCCCCAGGATGCGACCCACACCAGTCGACTACCACCCATGTACCTATTTACTATTAGGTGAACATGGACAGCAGGTGTCTTAAGGAAACACGCTCCAATGTACTCGCCCGTACCGAGGATCGAACTACAGACCTCAGTGTGTGAGCCGCGTGCGCTACCATATTTAGAACTTTACAGTGTAGAAAGGTTGAGAATACTCTTGACCTGGTACGTGGGGCTGTGTCCTGAATATAAACAGCACCAGTGTAGAACCCTGGTTTAGTCAAGTGGTATTGTACAGTATTCTGCTTATAACCGTGGCAACTTGGGTTCGATTCCCGGGCAGGGCGAGAAGTATAAACAAGTCTCCTTACACTTGCTGCACCTAGTCAACTAACGGTAAATAGGTACTTTGATGTTAGATGACTGATGTGGGCTCTATCCTAGGGTGTGGTAATATATGACCTTTGAAATAAACTGAGGTAAGATAACGCTTAGCTGAGGTAGGATAACAACTCTTAGCTAGTAAATAAGCTGATATAAGATAACTTTTAGCCATTAAATGAGCTGAGGTAGGATAACAGTTCTTAGACTGTCAACCTGATAACCCAAACAGTAATAAGGACACAGTATGCATCTTAATTTAAATGTGATTTTTGAGTGGCAGTGGCACTTACCCGTGTTGATGTCGAAGAAATAAAAGGTTTTTATTGACAAAACCTGTGGGTATCCTTATGACCGTCTCTGGATCATATCTTACGTGGATTTAGAAAACACAACCGGTTCTGGTTTCCCCTTGGGGAATGATGTGTACTAATGCTGATTTTTCAAGGGAAACGCATTATCCAACCTGGTCAACACAAGCCTGAACGTACTCACATGAATCACCCTCCCCCCACACACGCGTACACGCACACGCGCACACATGCACACACACACACACGGGGTAGAGAGCGTAGAGACACCGTGTAAGACGCACACAGCACCAAGGCTCGGCTGGCACTGACATACACACACAAGTGAATGGACTTAAACTCCCCCTTAGCTGTTTGAGGGTCGGGGGACCTGGGGGGGCAAGAAGGATTAAACCCCCCTCTATTGGCATCTATCATAAAATCAAATCCTCTTACTGGGCAAAATTAGTTTCTTATAAACATTAGCCGCCAAAAATTAAAAAAAAATAATCCCCGAAAGTAAAAGTGAAAGTATAAATCTATGTAGATTTATTTTATATTATTTGGGGTTACATTTGCGAGTTGGAAGTTTTTTGTAGGTGTTTAATGCTGGTCTGATGTGGTTGAAGAAATGTTTCGTGTGAAAGTAGCGAGTTATAGCCACGAGTCGTGTTATAACCACGAGTACTTGACAAGGACGCTAGCATGGTGAATGTGTTCAACTCAGAGACATCCCCAGTGTAGCACCTTCACTCCCCACCCACACCCACACCTTCACCCACACATGTGAAGGATCAGGTAATGTGACTGGAGAAGGAAGGAGGGTAGCTCATTAGGAATGACCAGGAAGTCTTTGAGGAACTGAACTAAAGATTTAGGGAGGTGTTCTCAGTGCAGTCAGGAACACTGCCAGAGACCCAAATTGGGAGAGTGCACCAACGAGTGCTAGATACATCGAAGGCGAAGGGGCAGACATCTCTCTGTGGATTTTGAATGAGGGATCAAGGAACTGTGTGAACCAGTAGCAGTGATCTTCAGCAAGTCACCTGAAACAGGCCAGTTGCCAGAAGTCGGGAAAACAATGAACGTTGTTTCAGTATTTAAAGTGGACAAACAGGCGGCATTGAACTACAGACCAGTGTCACTAACCCTAATATTTAAAGAAGGGGACGGGTAGATGGCACTGAACTACAGACCAGTGTCACTAACGTGCATAGTATGTAATGTTATGGAAAAGAATATCAGAATAGTGGATCACCTGGAACGGAGGGGACTTATACACAACCACTAGCACGATCTTCGAGATGGTAAATCCTGTCTCACAAATCTGCCAAAGCTCTTTGACAACGTAACGAAAGTTAGAGAGAGAGATGGATGGACTGCATGTTTTTGGACTGTAAGAAAGCGTTCGATACAGTATACCAGAGACTGGGAAAAAAGCTAGAGGAGGAGGAGGCAGGAATAACAGGAAAAACACTACAGTGGATCAAGGAATACGATATAGGAAGGAAACAACGAGTTATCACCAGGGTGGGACGTGACGAGTAGGGTTCCATAAGGATCATTACTTGAATCAGTACTATTTCTTGTGAATATAAACGACATGACAAAGAAAATTGAGTCAGAAGTGTCCCTGTTCGCACATGATGTGAAACTAATGAGGAGAAAGACTACAAACTTCAAATGGGTCTCGACAAGTTGCAAGATTGACTAACAAGTGGCTATCAGAATTTAACCCTAGCAAATGCCAAGTTATGAAGATCGGGGAAGGCCATAACGACCAGAAACAGAGTACGGGCTCGGGATGACACAGACAGCAAACCTCCGTGAAAGAGAAGAACCTTAGGGTGGACAGTTTCGAGCATTTTTACCTGAGGTTCACGTGAGTTAAATAAGACTGCAGCAGACGCAAGACTGGCGAAGTTAAGAGTAGCTTTCGGAAACCTCAATGAGGAGGTATTCACTACCTTACACACTGCATATGTCAGGCCCATCTTAGAGTATGCAGCACCAGTATGGAACCCGTATCTGATAAAGCAAGTAAAAAACAGGCTGGAAAAAGTGCAAAGATGCAAAGATTTGCAACGAAACTAGTCTCAGAGCTGAGGGTAAGAGCTATGAGAAATTAGAGGAACTAAATCTGACGACATTAGAGGACTAGAGATGACATAATTACAACTTCCAAAATAATAAAAGGCACTGACAGGGTAGATAAGAGTGAGTGTTGGAGAGGCGGGTCTCAGGTACACGAGGGCACAGCTGGAAGTTAAAAACACATGCGTCACAGGGATGTTAGGAAATACTTCTTTAGACTTAGAGTGTCCAGGAAGTGGCACGACCTAGACAGTGAAATGGTAAAGGCGGGATCTGTACATAGTTTTAACAATAGGAATGATAGGGTCATGCAATCAGGAGTTGAACCAGTAGTGGCCAGAGGAGAAGCGGGGCCAGGAGCTGAGATTTAATCATTGCAATCACAGATGGGTGAGTACAGTTACGTGAGTACCCATACCTTCACCCACACCAACCCCTCATCCACAGTCACCTACACCCACACACTCACCTACACCCGCACGTTTACCCTCATCCACACCCACACCTTCAATTATACCCACATCCTTCACCCACACTCACCGACACCCACACTCTCACCTACACTTACCACTACACTCATCCACACCCACATCACCTACACCCACAGCGTCACTCACACTTACACTACCACCTCTGTACCTCAGAATTGTTGCTCAGCCGTTGTTCAACTGTTCAACTAAATCAACCCTTCAACGAAGATACCTTGATGCTGATGAAGGGCTCTTGATCCAAGGAATTGAAGCCACCTTACCTTCCTTGAATCAAATCTGATTACCTCTCATTCCCCAGGCGCTCAACGCTGAACCTTTGCAGGTTTAACGCTTCTCTATGAAAGTAACAATAATAATAATAATAATAATAATAATAATAATAATAATAATAATAATAATAATAATAATAATAATAATAATAATAATAATAATAATAATAATCCTAGGTAGTAGGTTGGTAGACAGCAACCACCCAGGGAGGTACTACCGTCCTGCCAAGTGAGTGTAAAACGAAAGCCTGTAATTGTTTTACATGATGGTAGGATTGCTGGTGTCTTTTGTCTGTCTCATAAACATGCAAGGTTTCAGGTACGTCTTGCTACTTCTACTTACACTTAGGTCACACTACACATGCATGTACAAGCATATATATACACACCCCTCTGGGTTTTCTTCTATTTTCTTTCTAGTTCTTGTTTATTTCCTCTTATCTCCATGGGGAAGTGGAACAGAATTCTTCCTCCGTAAGCCATGCGTGTTGTAAGAGGCGACTAAAATGCCGGGAGCAAGAGGCTAGTAACCCCTTCTCCGGTATAAATTATTAAATTTAAAAGAGAAACTTTCGTTTTTCTTTTTGGGCCACCCTGCCTTGGTGGGATACGGCCGGTGTGTTGAAAGAAAATAATAATAATGTTTATTTAATATTTCCGTCAAACTCTTTACATCAGGTCCACTAATAAAGTGGAAGGAGGCGAGGAATGGATAGATCGAGGAGAGGAATGAACAGATGAAGAGGGATGGATAGATAGAGAGGATAAGTGGATAGTTAAAGGTTGACCATACGTGAAAGGTAGCCCTCAAGGTGAAGTAGAGGACGAGGAGGAGGAGGGGGAGGCGAAGGAGGAGGAGGAGGAGAGCAAGAAGAGAAGTTAGAGACAGTGGAGGGAGAACCAACACACAGTGATAGGTTGATACATTAGCAATATCTTCATTAATTATTTCAAAAGAAACAGATAGTGAATGAACACAACAGAAGAACAAGATAACATCCGTGTCTGATGCCTCTCCCAGCTAGTGTCGTCTTACCTCATTATCCATTCACTGGAACACCCGATGCGCTATGAAATATGCAATCCTGACCAACTCTTCCCACTCAGATCACTCATGTCACATGTCGACTGGACAATACGATAGCCGAGATGCAGATAAAACAGAATTCTGAATTTGTATCCCTATTGGTGCAGGGATGAGCTGTTGTAAATTGATGGCTAGACAAGTACTGCAAAGAACTTGCAATCCCATTCAAGATAATTTCTATGGCTAGCGTGATATGTACGCCAGGGATGAGGTGCATCTCTCGGGCAGAGGTGGTAGCATTAGCCACCTCTGCAGAGGTCGTTGCTGAGTTGTCTAGGACTTTAAGGGAGTTAATCACTCGTCGACCTCTACTGTCTCTCATTGTTTGTTGACCATTTCTTATGCTTTTATTAGTAACTATGTGATCGACAATCATATTTTTTGGAACATTTTCGTGAGGTATCTTGGCGATCTTTGCTACTTGCATACTCGTGCTGCAATTTATTTGTTTCCCACACACCCATAACTACCTTCTGTCACTAAGATCTTTACTAATAGTAGGAGCATTAGAAATAAGATACACGAACCAATATTAATTGCATACACAGGAAGCATTGATATTATTATTATAACAGAGATCTACTTCAACCTGCAAGATAGAGGAAGACGTAAATGCCACATGCAAGGCTGTATATTATTCTACACCGATAGGGTAAACAGGAAGGGTGGTGGAGTGGCGATGTATGTCAGAGATAATTTAAATGTTGCATTATACAAGATATAAAAGCTTAATCTAGGACAGTGCATTCATTTGGCTACAGTGTCTCAAGGGGCATGAAAAGCTAATCAAGACACCACTTTGAGGCACCTCTTCCGTAATAGCTAACTTAGCAAGTAATCTCTCACCCCTCTGTACTTACTTTTGAACAAAGTCAACACTGATAAACTTCCTCCTCTGTTATTGCATCATCCAGTGGTTCCTTGTCGTCTATGTTGCTAATGCATTTCACTCAACACTTGGTGACGACAGCGTTCTCAAACCCTGGCTCACATACGCTCTTGAAATCATACATTCCCATGTCACCAAATTGCGGTTGTTTCCGCCAGCCATGAAGTAATCTTCGCAACTCTGAACCTTGCACATACACACACATCCTAGTGATATAAACACGCTATTTACATAAGCAACAAGACTCTTGTCACTCCGAAAGCACAGAATCTACATTCGCTTTCACACAAGCACAGGAAATGCTTCCTCATAGTTAGACTGGGCAGTCAGGTGATACCCACTTATTGCAACCTTTCCTACCACATTCTCTCTGCATATCATCTCTCCCACACCACTATATAATGCCCTTTTTTCTAGCTTTCTTTGGGCTGGGAGTATTATTATTATTGGAGAGCGCTAAAACCGTAGGGATTATGCAGCGTCTGTG